CTCGCTAAACCAGGCTGGCCTTGAACTCAGAGATCCGCCTGCCTCTGCCTCCCAATTGCTGGGATTGAAGGCATGCGCCACCAACGCTCAGCCGATGGTGGAGTTTAGACTGTGTATTTGGGACAGGTCAGATTAAAGGGATGTGGACCCAGATGGTGTCAAAGCCCTCATTAGCCACTTGTAAGGGGGACGGAGTTTTCTAAGTGAGGAGGGATGGCTTTCAATGTTCTCCGTGTGGAGCTCTGGATGGAGTGTGCGAAGAGAATGCAAATCAGGATGTTATTTTTTTCTATTGTAACAAACACCACAACCAAGAGCAACTTGAGGAGGGAGGGCTTCTCTGGCTTATACTGCCAGCTCACAGCGCACCACTGAGAGCCGTCAGACAGCTCCAGCAGGGACCTGGAGGTAGGAACGGAGACAGAGACTGCAGAGGAATACGGCCTGGTGACTTGGTCTCCCTCTGGTTTCTTACCTTTCCTTCCTATGACTCAGCCTCACCTGCAGGGGGATGGCACCACCCACAGTGGTCTGGGCCTCCTACACAGATAGCAATGAAGGAAAGGCCTCACAGACACGGCCTCAGGCCAGCCTGACCTGGACAGTCCTTCAACTGAGGTTCCCACTGCCTGGGTGACTCCAGGTTTGTGTCAAGTTGGCAGTTGAACTATGACACCGTGACACTGGTGAGGAGCAGTTGGAGAGACTTCTACAGGTGGCATGAAAGTCACCAAAGGAAGGGAAGGGGAGGGGGACAGGGCTGTTAGATGGAGAGACCAGATCTAACAGGCTGGAACATTCACAGAGGGTCATCAAGTGTGTCACTGGGCCTGAGTTCAGGGGAGACAGGCTAATGTGAGAGAACCCAGCCAGGCACATGGCATCCTTCCCACAGCTGATGGCCCTGTCAACAAAGTCATAAAGGCTTGGGGTAGGAGGTCTGAGTCCTTTCCTAAATTATGACACGAGGTTTCCAATCATAGGACAGAGCTATATACCTGTGTACCATGGGGTAACCAGCTTTCTTGATCTGGAAGTAGACATGAACCTAACTTTTTTATACAGGAAAGTAAGTCCATTCTCCCCACCACACGCAGGATCTGGGGGTCAATCTACGGCCAATTCTTGAGAACACATCCCAATAATGAGTCAGATTGAAACAGATGGGCCCGACGGGAGCGCAGCCTTCACCCCAAAGGCATCACGGGAGGACAGTGAACCTCCATGTTGTCTCACAACAGGAACTTGGCTGAGGCATGCCCTAAGTGGGCGTTCTGGAAAACACACCCTCTCTACTTGTGGAGGCAGACTTCACCTAGTTTAGTCATGCCAGCTTAAGCTCAAGGAACCAATCAGAGGGAGCCTGGTCTTGAACTGGCCCTGAGGGAAGATGGGGCTGGACATCCTGGAAAAGTGAAGGCCTTTTTCTTTTGTTTTTTTGTTTGTTTGTTTTGAGGTAGGGTTTCTCTGTAGCTTTAGAGCCTGTCCTGGTACTCAAGCTCTATAGATGAAGCTGGCCTCAAGCTCAGAGATCCGCTTGCCTCTGCCTACTGAGTGCTGGGATTAAAGGCATGCACCATCAACACCCATCACAAGCCTTCTGTAGGTGCCTCAGACCACGAAGCCTGGCCAGGAGGGGAAAGAGACACTGGCACTGCAGCCTTCGCTCGGAAGGACGGGAGGGAAGGCTGGGATGGGGACTAGCTGGGAGGAGGAAGAGAATCCCTACTACAAATGCAGGGTTCCTCGGGAATCTGCGGCCAGCTGCACGAGAGAGTGAGGGGCTTCCACAAGACAATTCCAGAAACAGATCATTACAGAATACAGTAGGCCATTCTCTTGCCTCTATGTGTCACCAACATGTGCACAGGAAGTAAGGCTTTCCACAGAGGAACCCTCAGCTGTACCCTGCTGGACAATGATCTAGACTTACAGCCTTAAAGGACTCCCAGGTGTGTGGCAACCTATTAGGATAAAGACATTTCTTTAAGAGACAAGAAATTCTGCTGGGCCTTGAGTTAATAATACACCTTGAAGAACCAGGCGATGGCAGAGCAGTACTTTAATCCCAGCACTCAGGAGGCAGAGACAAGCGGATCTCTGAGTTTGAGGCCAGCCTCGTCTACAGAGCAAGTTTCAGGACAGCCAAGACTACACAAAGAAACCCTGTCTCAAAAAACAAACAGGGCCGGAGAGATGGCTCAGAGGTTAAGATCGCTGACTGCTCTTCCAGAGGTCCTGAGTTCAATTCTCAGCAACCACATGGCGGCTCACAACCATCTGTAGTGGGATCTGGTGTCCACTTCTGCAGACACACATGCAGACAGAACACTATAAATAATCAATCTTTAAAAAAAGGAATTAAGACTGTTATCCTAATATGCACTCAGCCTATTTGTTTAGTCTGCTTTTGAGAGGACAATATAACAGTCAATTTTACTTGCTTTGGATTTTCCATTTACATTCCCTTTTACAACCTAAGCTAATGCACAGCTGTAACCTTAAATTATGTATTCCACCGCCCCCCACAGTAACACATGTGTGTTCTAAAATTCATTTGCCAAAAGCTGCAAAACAGTTGAACGAAATCCCATAAAATGGACATCCATCATAAACGTTACACACAACATTCAGCTATTGCTCTATAAACAATGATGTCTGTTGTTTGGGTTAGCTGGACTGACTTAATCCCTTGTAAAACTGTTTCTGTAAAGTATACCTCACTTGTTCCCGTGTGATGCTTTCTGTGATGTTCTTAAAGTGCAAGGGACACACACACATGGACAGACAGCTACAGGGACAGATCACGAGGCAGCCACATGGCAGGCACAGACTAAGACCAGAGGGAGGACAGGACGGAGGACACAAAGTGACATAGAGAATGCAAATCTGGACTTGCTCTCGATTACCTGACGCCAAGATGTGCTTAGGTTCCCCCCCCCCCCTTTTTGGGACATTCACACCATTATTGGTGACTTTTAAGCTGGTCACTACAACCAGAATGAAGTCAAGCCAAGGCAGTCTGGTCCACCAAAATGTACAGACCAGTCAAAGGGGCAGGGTTGAAAGATCAAAATAGATGTCATAAAGAAAATATTCGGGGTTCAGTGGTTAAGAACAGTAGGGGGGGTCTTTCAGAGGCCCTGAGTTCAATTCCCAGCAACCACATGGTGGCTCACAACCATCTGTAATGAGATCTGGTGCCCTCTGCTGGCATGCAGGCAAACATACATAATATACATAATAAATTAATCTTTAAAGAAAATATGCGAGGACTAGGGAGGGAAACGGCTTAGGGAGGTGCTAGCCACGAAAGCATAAAGACGAGTTTGGCCACCAACACCCACATAAAAAGCTGGGCACCTTCCTGTGATCCCCGTGCTGGGGAGGGAGACATGCATACAAACATGAATGCAAGGTCATTAGACCTTTATTCGAAAAAAGCAAAAACAAACTGGCAAATTCTGTTTCTCATCTGATCTGGAAGTTTGCTCCTTCCTACATGCTTCTCAATGAAAATTAACTCAGTTATGGCATATTTTTATTTTAATTTATTTTTCTCTCAAGACAAGGTTTCTCTGTGCAACAGTCCTGGCTGTCTTGAAACTCGATTTGTAGACCAGGCTGGCCTCAAACTCACCAAGACCCATCTGCCTCTGCCTCCTGAGTGTGAGATTAAAGGATTGTCCACCATGCCTGGCTTATTCACTCATCTTTAAATGATTTTTTTTTTCTGAGACAGGATTTCTTTGTGGCTTTGGAGGCTGCCCTGGAACTAGCTCTTGTAGATCGGGCTGGTCTCGAACTCACAGAAATCTGCCTGCCTCTGCCTTCCGAGTGCTGGGATTAAAGGCATGCACCACTACTGCCCGGCTTCATCATAATATCTTAAGTACTGGCACTTTTTAAAAAAATCTTAAGATTGCCAGGAATGAAATTTCCTGGTATGAAAAGAGATTGTAAGTGCGTATTTCTTTTCTTAATGTTAAAAGACAGAATCACTATTTTCAAAAATAAAATCCAAGGGGCTGGAGAGATGGCGCAGTGGTTAAGAGCACTGGCTGCTCTTTCAGAGGACCCGGGTTTCAATTCCCAGTACCCATAGGGTGGCTCACGACTGTCTGCAACTCCAGGTCCTGGGGATCCAATGCCCTCTTCAGGCCTCCATAGGCACTGCACACACATGGCGCACAGACAATACAAACACCCACACACATAAAATATTAAAATAAATTCCACTTGTGGTTTCCATTTATAATTCTAATGCATAATGAAAAACTTGTGATTTGGAATCAAACTTCAAATGATCACCTTCTAGTTATATAAAAAGTTTGTTTTCAGACAGGGTCTCACTATGTTGACCAGACTAGTCTCCAACTCAGATCTACCCGCCCCTGCCTCCCAAATTTTGGGATTAAAGGCATGTAGCACCACATCTGGCAAAAAAAATCCTAACTTACTGTGGAGGTCTGATGAGAATGCTCCCCATTGGTTCACAGGTTTGAATGTTGGTCTCCAGTTGGAACAATCTGGTGAAGATGGAAGTGTGTCACTGGAGCTGGGCTTTGAGGTTTCAAAGCCCAAAGCACTCCTGGTTAGCTTGCTCTCCTGTGCTTGTGTCTCAAGATGTGAGCTCTAAGCTACTGCTCCATCATGGCTGCCTGCTGCCACGCTCCCTCGTCTCATGATGGTCATGGGACTCTAACCCTATGGAACTGTGAGCCTCAAATGACATTCTTTCTTTTATAAGTTGCCTTGGTCATGGTGTTTGGTCACGCAATAGGAAAGTAAGTATGATACTTATTTACACCTTATTACAAGGTGACAGATACAGCTAAGCCAGCTTCCAAAGAGCAGTGTTGTATGAGGAGAAAGCAGAAAGACTTCCTTTAAAGGACACAGAAAAAACAGTTTCTAAAGTAGATTACGTACATGGAAGCTATAAAAAGCAATGAAACACAGCCCTGACAGATCTTTTTTTCTTCAAAGTCTCTGAAATGTAACATTTGGGAGCTACATAGGCACCCTACTCATTTTTAATAGGATAATTCATAAAGCATTAAGAGGAAGACAAACATACAAAAATAATATTCTGGGATACACAGTATTTTGGAGGACATACACTTGTATGTCAATGCCTCGGGGAGAAAGATAAGAGCATGATTGATGAGGCCATCCCCTGCATGCACAGCTCTCTTCTGTGATGGATACCAAGTCATAGTTCACACCTGCCTTTCACTCTCTAGGTCTCAATTATCTCAGACCTTTGCATATTTATATGTATAAATAATGCGTTAGAAAATCTTCAAACCCAGAAGCAGGCTAAAACCCTAACAATGCTGCTTTTCTTTAGTGGCCAGGCAGCTCATTAACAATGGCCACACCAGTTTGTATGATCTGGCTGCAGAGGGAGAGGCTACATGCTACTTAAATCCATCACATTTTCTTTGGATACACACTGGGTTGGAAAGGTACCGAGACACATACATGATGTTGAGTAGGAGAAACCTTGCTTGCTATGATGCAATTTCATAGATGAATGGGAATTTCAATTCCCTAGTAGCCATTAGACTCACATGAACAGATTTCAAACAATATATGCTTTGTGGCATATCCTTAAGTACAAATTCCTAAGGTGGTGTTTATAGAAACTTTATTTCTCCTCCTAGAATATTCAGTTGATTCAAGATTTGTAAAAGGTCACTGTGTACTGGGAATGTAGATCAGTGGTAAAAAAATTTGCCTAGCACAGGCAGCAAGCTAGGTTTGAACCCCAGCGGCACAAAAAGCCATGAAAGCTCATGGAGTAGAGCTGGCTATGTCTATTTACAATTGGATCTGGAGGTGTATGTACTAAGTACATACACATGGATACTTTCAGTATAATATTCTTATGGTATCCTGTTTTCTGAAGTTTTTAAGTTAGCCTGCATCTCAATGTGATTTCCCAAGTTCCCTCAGTATCTTCATGAAGGTTTCTCCCTCACTGGAAGAATACTGGTTTGATGGTTTCCCACGGTACAGTGTGACTGTAGCCTCAGTATCTTCATGAAGGTTCCTCCCTCACTGGAAGAACACTGGTTTGATGGTTTCCCACGGTACAGTGTGACTGTAGCCTCAGGATCTTCATGAAGGTGATGGTTTGATGGTTTCCCACGGTATGGTCTGACTGCAGCCTCAGGACCTACCCTGTGTGAACCCTCTGATGGACACTGAGCCGAGACTTTCTGCTGAAGGCTTTCCCACACTCAGCACATTCGTAGGGTTTTTCCCCGGTGTGGATTCTCAAATGTAATCTAAGGGTTGATCTCTGGCTGAAAGTTTTCCCGCATTCGGTACATTCATACGGTTTTTCCCCAGTGTGAGTTCTCATGTGGATGATAAGCTGTGAGTTCTGGATGAACGACTTTCCACACTCGCTGCACTCGTAGCGTTTCTCCCCTGTGTGAATTTTCTGATGGATAATGAGGTTTGATTTCTTAAAGAAGGTTTTCGCACATTCGCTACACTCATAGGGCCGCTCTCCCGTGTGGATTCTCTGGTGTGTGGTGAGTTCAAACTTCTGAGCAAACGTCTTTCCACACTCGCTGCACTCATATGGCTTCTTCTCCATGTGTGCTCTCTGGTGCACAATGAGGTTTGACTGGTGGGTAAAGGCTTTCCCACACTCAGGACATTCAAAGGGTTTCTCTCCGGTATGAATTCTCTGATGTTTGATGAGGTTTGCCTTATGGGAGAAGGTTTTCTTACACACATTGCATTCATAGGGTTTCTCTCCTGTGTGTATCCTCTTGTGGCTGATCAGGAGCGACTTGAAGGAGAAGGCCTTGTCACAGTAATTACAGACAAAAGGCTGAACCAAGTTCTTAATTTTCTGATGTTTAAAGATGACCTCTTTATGGCCGAGGACCTTTCCATTCCCACTGTAGTCAGAGTACCCTACGCCGGCATGGGGCTTCTCTTGCTTCAGATACAGGAGTGGTTTCCCAAATCCATTGCACTCCTCACCCTTCCTTCTTACACAGCTTCTGCCCCCAAGTAAGTCTGAGCTATATCTCAAAGTTTTTTCATACAAATCGTATTTATAGGGAACTTGTGTTAACGAAACAAAGTCTGTGTTCAGATTTAATGTCTTGCCAAAAAGATTGCCTCTTTCTTCAACTGGTGGTTGGTTCTTGAGGGTTGTAAGTGGCCTCGCCTGCTCATCTGGGTCTCTGGGGTTCTTCTCCACATGGTCATCGGCCCTCCACACTTCTAGGACAAAACAGTGAAGGGCACTTTAAGCCTGATTCGTTAACCCACACATGCTCCCATCATAGAGCTGACTCTGGTTTCAGACCGAGTCTTTCAGCATTACAAAAGTCCCCCGATGCAAACTTTTTTCATCTCTTAACTTTGAGAGGAAAGTAAATATCTGTCCTGATGACAAAATGACTTTTAAGTGAGCAGAAAAAAGTCAGGAAGCAGTGTCACCACCTTTGATCCCAGCACTCGGATGGCAGTGGTAGATGGATCTGTCAGTCTGAGACCAGCCTGGTCCTCTTTTAGAGGACCCGGGTTCAATTCCCAGCACCCATATGGTGGCTTATAACCATCTGCGACTCCAGTCCCAGGAGACTCCAATATTCTCTCCTAGCCTCTTGAGAGCACCAGGCACACACATGGTACACAGACATATTGGCAGGCAAAAAACCATACATAAAATAATTTGCAAGATTTATTTACTTTTATGTGTATGGGTGTTTTACCTGCATGCTACATTTGCAGTACATACAGAGGCCAGAAGAGAGCATCAGATCCCCTGAAACAAGTTACAGAAGGCTGCCAGCCTCCATGTAAATGATATGAATAAAACATATTCTGTGGAGGAGTGGCCAGCACCCTTAATCACTGAAGGATCTCTGCAGCTCACCTCCCCCTTTTTTTTAAAAAATATTTTATTTTATTTATTGTGTATACAGCCTTTTGTCTGTAGGCCAGCAGAGGGTACCAGATCTCATTCACGGTGGTTGTGAGTCACCATGTGGTTGCTGGGAATTGAACTCAGGACCTCTGGAAGAACAGTCAGTGCTCTTAACCGCTGAGCCATCTCTCCAGGCCCCACCACCCCTTTTTTGAAGACAGCATCTCATTATGTAACTCTCCATGTAAACCAGGCTGGCCTTGAACTCACAGAGATCTATCTGCCTCTGCCTCTTCAGTGTTGGGATTAAAAGTGTGCAACACTATACCCAACTTTTTACTTATTTTTGTGTGGTATGTGTGAGTGCACATGCATGCATTACCATAACATGTAAGGTGAGTGGAGGTCAGAGGCCACCGAGTCTGACTGGTTCACTTCCTCCACCAACATGGGCTGAGATCAAACTCAGGACATGGAGCTTGGAAACAAGCACCTTTCCCAACTGAGCAATCTCACCAGTCCAAGAGAGTGTTTTAAAATGTCTGTCTGTGAGTCTGTGAGCAGGTACAGGGGCCATCAGAGCCAGAGCTTCAATCCCTGGAGCTGCTGTCTCAGGCGGTTGTGAGCTGCCCAACAGGGGAAATTCGAAGGAGTCCTTTGCAGGTGCATACAGTGTATACTGTTGACCACTAAGTCAACTCTCCAGCCCCACAACATTAACTCTGCAGTGAGCATTTCTCACAGGCCCATAAGTCTCTGAAGACAAAGGTATAACTGGTGGTGGTGGCACACACGTCTAATCCCAGCACCCAGGAGGCAGAGGCAGGTGGATCTCTGTGAGTTCAAGGTCACCCTGGTCTACAAATTGAGTTCCAGGAAAGTCAGGGTCATTACACAGAGAAACTCTAACTTGAATAACCAAAAAAAAAGAAAAGAAAAAAAAGAAAGAAATTACCTCACAGCACACACCGTTAGTCTAGCACTGGGGTGGAAGGTGATCTGTGATCTGAGTTCAAGACCAGCCAAGGCCATGTAAGTGAGACCCTGTCTTAAATAGCTCCCCTAGTGGCCATTCTGAGTATATCTCCTGCCACCCCAGGTTACTGATGCACTTCCAAGGTTGTCCTTACCCACTGAAAGTAAGTTGCTATAGTTCTCAAGCATTACGTCCATGTATAGAATCCTCTGAGAGGGGTCCAGCTGCTCCCACTCCTCCTGGGTGAAGTCCACAGTTACATCAGTGAATGAAACCGACCCCTGAAATGACACATTTTTTTCTAAAGTGATTGCTTGGGAAGATACAGAAAATATACATGAAAAATTTCCCTTGTCACATTGTAAGCCCTTCATCATGACACCAATGGTGCTACTTGTTCAGTGTTTTATCGCAGCTCTAAACCATGAAGACCTTTATTTACAACAGGTGTAGTGGTACATACCTTGAACCCCGGCATTTGGGAAGTAAAGACAGGCAGATCTTGATTTGAGGTCAGCCTGGTTTACATAACAAGTTTCAAGACAAATGCATTTGATTATCCTGATTCACCAATTGTGAGAGACAACAGCTGTGACTCTGTATATAAAACCTTTGACAATTTGTGAAAAAATAAGGAAAATGATGTTGCTGGTCAGTTGCTCTTAGCCTCCAAATAAACTGGCAAAGGAAAGGAATGAGCTCCATGACAGACTTAACAGCTTCTAGCACCTCAGGATCCAGGGAAGGACAACAATTAAACCCAGCGGTAAAACTGGCTGGCTCCCGACGTCCTAAGGTTTCTTTCTGCGCAGCCCCGGCTGTCCTGGAACTAGCTCTGGCCTTGGACTCAGAGATCCACTTGCCTCTGCCTCCCAAGTGCTGGGATTAAAGGCGTGCGTCACCACCCTGCTCAGTCTAAATGTTTCTATGTGGGCCCTGGAAGAGGATCTTCTTTTTACCAGTCACAAAGCTCAAGTTGTGAGAAAACAACAACAACAACAAAAACCAAACCAAGGCCTTTATTATAAGGTTGGCTGAATTACAGCAGAAATTCAAGCCTTGGAGCATGAAAGTCAGGGCCCTAACTGTTAAAGAACAGGACCCTATAACTTGTGATGGAGATGTGTGGGAGACCCTATTGATGCTGAGGACTTCAAAACCTCAGAGTCTCAAGGGTTTCAGAAGATGTACCCTACCCCCACCCCCTGAATATTGTTTGCCAAACCAGCAGTGATTTCCCTGGAGGAGATGCCTGACAAGACAATCCTGACAACCCTCAGGACCCACCAATAGTTTCCTCTAGACCTATGAACAGACTAAAGGTAAGCAGACTCCTAGAGGGAAGATTGAAAGTGGGGTTCAGAAGGAGGTGCTCTATACTACTAAAGAGCTTAATGAGTTTGCTACTTCATTCAAGCAGGAGTCTAGGGAATATGTGTGGGAATGGATTTGAAGGCTGTGGGGTAATGGTGGAAGGAACATAAAATGGGTCGGGCTGAATTTATTGATATGAGCCCTCTGAGTGGAGATCCTAGGTTTAATGTGGAAACTCAAAGATTTTCTTTCTAAAGGTGTCATGAGAGGCAGTGGTGGCACACACCTTTAGTCCCAGCTCTAGGGAGGCAGAGACAGTGGGTCTCTGAATTAAAGGCCAGCCTGGTCTACAGAGTGAGTTCCAGGACAGCTAGGGATACAGTATGGAGAAACCCTGTGAATGGCTGCTTGAAGCATTAGTGAAAAGATGGTCTACTGAGGAGGCGTTGGAGAAGCCTGAAATCCCTTGGCTTGATGAAAGGATTTTAAGGCTCAGGGAAGTTGCAATGCTAGAGTGGGTACGATGTGTAAAACCCCACCCTCCACAATGGGAGGCCCCAAAAAACATGATCCACACTAATTCTATTAGATGCAAATCTGAAGAGTTTTGTTGTCACTCCTCTCGTGCCGGGCCGGAGGGTGCGGATGCTGCTGCTCAGGTGGATGAATTAATTGGCCCCCAAGTTGCAGGGACCAGGTGGCAGCACTGAGTCGCCAAAGGCAAGGCGACTGTAGTTATTGTAATGGGCAGCAGAGACAAGGCAATGTCCATAATGGCCTGACCTGTAATGGTCAGCACAGGCAGAGTGACTTTTATGGTAGCATGGCCTTTAGTAACGGCAAATCAGTCATAGTATTTCTAGGCACAAAACAGATCGGCCTACTGCATTATTTATTTATTTGTTTGTTTATTTATTTACATTTTTTGGGAGCTGTATGAGCAGAAAAAATTTCAAATGAAAGAAATTCTACATTGTATCATGGCAAAAGGGAATCTGAACCAACTTCCAGACTTGAGGGGGTTTGCAGACCTAGAATGGCTTGAATGAAGGCATGGCCAGGTTCCCCTAAGGGAAGAACTTGATAACATACCTAAGAGTTTTGTTTTTTTTAATTTTATTTATTAAGTATACAGTGTTCTGCCTGCAGGCCAGAAGAGGGCACCAGAGCTCATTACAGATGGTTGTGAACCATCATGTGGTTGCTAGGAATTGAACTCAGGACCTCTGGAAGAGCAGTCAGTGCTCTTAACCTCTGAGCCATCCCTCCAGCCCCATACCTAAGAGTTTTACTGTTAGTCTTTCTCTAATTTTGCCCCAGAGGGACCTAAGGCCTTTCACATGGGTAACTGTACTCTGGGGAGAAAGGAAACAAACAGACTTTCTGGGATCTGTTGGATACTGGTTCTGAATTGACTATGATTCCGGGAGATCCCAAGAAACATTGTGGCCCTCCAGGTAAAGTAGGAGCTTATGGAGGTCAGGGGAATAATGGAGCTTTGGTTGAAGTCCAACTCACAGTAGGTTCACTGGGTTCCCAAACTCATCCTGTGGTTATTTTCCCCAGTCCAGAATGTATAATTGGGATAGATATACTTACAAGTTTGCAGAATTCTCACACTGGTCCCCTGATCTATGGAGTGAAGGCTATTCTGGTTGAAAAGGCTAAACAGAAGCCTTACGATTGCCAAGGAATATGGGAAATCATAAAGCTTTGCATCTCTGGAGGAATTACAGAATGGGAGCTACACTCAAGGACTTGAAAGATGCGGGGGTGGTGGGTCCCATACTTCCCTTCAACTCTGTGTGGCCAGAGCAGAAGACAGATGGAAAGTGACAGTTGATTACTGAAAACTCAAGCAAGTAGTGACTCTGATTGCAGCTGCTGCACCAGACATGGTGTCCTTACTTCAGGAGATTAACACACCTCTAGTCCCAAGCACTCGTGGGAGGCTGAAGCAGGAGGATCTCTGCTGAGTTTGCCTGGAATACATATCAAGCTCCAGGACAGTTTAAAACTCAAGAAAACAAACCTCATGACTAAAAAGTAAACAATAGGCTGAGTAGTGGTGCCGCACACCTTTAATCTTAGCACTCGGGAGGCAGAGGCAGGCGGATCTCTGTGAGTTGGAGACCAGCCTGGTCTACATATCAAGTTCCAGGACAGGCTCCAAAACAATACAGAGAAATCCTGTCTCAAAAAAAAAAAAAAAAAAAAAAAAAGATCCAATATAGAATGCTGGCCATGCCAAATGCTGGTAAGGATGTGGAAACATGTTTTCATTCACTATGGTGGGAATGCACTTCACTTGGAAGATAGTTTTAATAGTTTCTTACAAAATTAATCATGTTTTTACTATATGGTCCAGCAATCCTTGGTATTCATGCAGAAGAGTTGACAACTTATGCTCCCACAAAACCCTGCACATTAATCATCAAAACTTGGAAGCAATCAAGCTGCCCTTCAAGAACTGACTAATATACTAGACTGGAGACGCAGCTCGGTAGATACAATGTTTGCCTAGCATGGATGAGACCTAGGTTCCACCCCAGCACTGCAGACATAGTATCACATGCCTGTCATCCCAGTCCTCAAGGAGATATCAAAAACTCAGAGTCATCATCTAAACCAGGGGTTCTCAACCTGGGGGGGTCACAGACGCTTTGGGGTCGAATAGCTCTTTCACAAGGGTTGCCTAAGGCCACCAGAAAATGCAGATCTTTATATTATAATTCATAACAGTAGCAAAACTACAATTATGAAGTAGCAACAAAAATAATTTTATGGTTGGGGTCGTCACAACCTAAGGGAACTGTGTTAAAGGTCACAGCATTAGGAGATTGAGAACCACTGCTCTAAACACATTGTGAGTTTGAGGGTTGCCTATGTTATGAGACCTTTTCTACCACCCTTTCAAAACAGAAGGACCCCAAAATGGCAAGGATGGATGAGGTTGTTTTGCTGAATCTGGAGCTCGGCTTTCAGAAAGCTCCAGCAATCTTTTCTCTGCCCCTCATAGTGCTGGAGATCCTGGTGTGGGGCAAACCCTGCTGGGATGCAAATCCAGGTCCTCACCACGGAGCCATCTTTCTGCCCAATCCACCCCAAAAGCAAAATGAAAAACCCAGTGACTCACCTGGGGCCCCATCATTCTCCGTGGTGAGGTAAAGGCACAGGAGCACCAAGGCACACTGGGAGAAGAGGAAAGGAAGCTTGTTATTATGGGTCTGACCTGCCTGGTACCCAAATGTTCTGTTTAGAGATCCTACACACCCCCGAAAAACACCACCCCCTTCAGAAAAACCATGCTGGCAATGTCTACTTTTCTTTTAAGGTTTATTTATTTATTATGTATGCATGTAGGCCTGCACGTCAGAAGAGAGCACCAGATCTCATTATAGATGGTTGTGAGTCACCATGTGGTTGCTGGGAATTGAACTTGGGAAGAACAGCCAGTGCACTTAACCTCTGAGTCATCTCTCCAGTCCTGAAATATCTACTTTCAACCAAACACAATGAGACACACACACCAAAAAGGGCAAGAGACAAAACAGAAGCCCCAACTGTTAGTATTCAGGCATCTGTACTGGGCTGCCCTTGGGGTCCTCACAGGATACACCTTCAGCTGCAGCCACTCAGAGCACCACCTGTGCACATTCACTGTGTTCCCTTATAAACTGCCTGTCTTTTTCCCTCTTCTGGCCCCCACCCCACTGCTCCCGTCCCCAGAGGCCAGTCTCCGTCCCTCCTTTCCCATTTCCTCGCCTCTCAAAACTCTCCACTCGAGCTCTATTGCATGGTGGTGTCTCTTAACACCACCATCACCTCCTGAGGCTGTCAGATAGGGAGTTTAAAGAACTACAGGAGTTAATGTAAAAGGCGAACATGAATGAACAAATAAGAAAACTTCAGCAAAGATGGGAATTATGGGGGGGGGGGGGGGAATTCCAGGTGGTTCTAATCCCAGCACTCGGTGGGCAGAGGCAGGCAGATCTCTATGAGTTCAAGGTCAGCCTGGTCTACAGAGTGAGTTGCAAGACAGCCAGGGCTACACAGAGAAACTGTCTTGAAAAACAAAACAAAATAAAAAGGAAACTGGTAAGGACTTAGAGTACAGCCTAGTGGCTGTCAAGGTCTGGCTATGTGACGAACCTCCAGCTGCCAGGTTCAATCACTGACAAATGACTAACCATGAGGGCTCCCTCATCTATGGATTAACCCCCCGGTGGACTCTCATGGTGGCATTAGCAGAAAATAGAAGGTGGGTTTAGAGGAAGCAGCTTGCCAGGGCACGCCCTGGGAGATAAACCTTGTCTCCAGCCCCTTCCTGTCTTCCTGGTTGCCAGGAAGTAAGCAGAAGTGAGCAATTTCTGCCATGTGCCCCAATGGCACTCTGTTCAATGTCACTTTAGATTTAAAGAGATGGGATCAAGAGATCACAATAAATCTCTCCTCTTTTGAGCTGCTTCTCTCAGGCATCTGGCACTGTAACAAAACACTAAAACAGTCCCCGGCAAAGGAATTAAACAGCAATGAATAATCCCAGCACTCGGGAGGCAGAGGCAGGCCTGATCTACAGAGCAAGTTCCAGGATAGCCTCCAAAGCAATACAGAGAAACCCTGTCTCGAAAACCCGCCCTCCCAAAAAAATAACCAGCAATGAAAACATTTAAACATCTGAGTAACAGTAACTTTAGTTACTAAACTGCGCTTTACTTTTTGAGATAGGGTCTCATCATCTAGCCCCAGCTAATCTCAAATTCATGATCCTCCTGCCTCAGGCTCCCAAGTGCTAGGATGTCAAGAATGAGATACAATACATGATGTGCATTAAAATGCTTATAGAAAACAAGTTTACTATTAATGACCTTGGGCCATTCCTATCCCTATTCCCACCCAAGCCTTGAGTGCATTAACCCAAAGCAAGCATAAGGAAGGAAACAAAAAGTTAAGAGAGCAGAAATCAATAAATCTCAAACAATGGAGAATGCAATGAAGCCAAAGCTGTATGTGGAAACAATAATAACACCAACCAAACTGGCCAAGAAAAAGGACAAACAGCTTGGGTGTGGAGAGATGGTAATGTTTGACAGGCTGAGGCAGCATGGTAAGTAAGTTTCAGGCCAGCCTGGCTACATAGCCACCTTGCCCAACCACACAAAAATCTAAAATGAAGCAACAAAGAACACAAAATAACAATATCTAGAATGACCCAGGGCATTATAGTTGCTGCAGATATTAAACTTTTCTTTGGGGGCTAGAGATATGGCTTAATAATGTTTACTGTGTCAGGCAGTGGTGGCGCACGCCTTTAATCCCAGCACTCGGGAGGCAGAGGCAGGCGGATTTCTGTGAGTTCGAGGCCGGGCTGGACCGATAGCCTCCAAAACAATACAGAGAAACCCTGTCTCGTAAAAACCAAAAAAAAAAAAAAAAAAAAAAATGTTCACTGTACTTCCATAGGAGCAGGGTTCCATTCCCAGTACCCACCTGGCAGATTACAACTGCCTATAACTCCAATTCAGGGGAGTTGCATACACTCTTCCAGGTTCCTCAGGCATCAGACACTCATGCAGGCAAAACATCCATCACATAAATATTTAAAATTTTTTTAAATGTAAAGAAATGAAGGGATGGTGGTGTGAGTGGCATCTTGCCTCAAAGTGACAAGATGCCACTACAGGGTGGAAAGACAGTGGTTAAGAGCACTTCCTGTTGTTCCAGAGGATAGGAGTTCAGTTTCCAACACCTATGTCAGACATTCACACTCACCAGGAATACCAACCCCAGGGGATCTGATGCTCTCTTTATATCTATTCAATACAGTACTTGAAGCTCTGGCTAAAAGAGACGAAAGGGATACAAATTGGATACGAAGAAGCCAAAGTATCGTATTTGTAGATGATGTAATAGTATACATAAGTGACTCCCAAAAATCTGCCAGGGAACTTCTACAGCTGATAAACAACTTGAGTGATTGGGATGGGTAGATGATTACCTAAAAAATCAGTAGCCCTCCTATGCACAATGACAAACAGACGGAGAAAGAAATCAGGGCAACACCACCCTTCACAACAGCCACGAACAAGATAAAATATCTAGGGGTAACTCCAACCAAGCAAGTGAAAGACATATAACAATAACTTCAACTCTTTGAAAAAAGAACACCCATAGCACAGACACCAAAATCGACAATTAGTAAATGGGACCTCATGAAACTGAAAAGCTTCTGTAAGGCAAAGGACACCACCAAGAGGACAAAATAGCAGCTTACAAAATAGAAAAAGATTTTCACCAACTCCACATTCAGCAGAGGGCTGATATCCAAAATATATAAAGAACTCAAGAAAAAATAGACAACAACAAACCAATCAAATTGAAATGTCAATATCCTTAGCCATCAGGGTAATGCAAATCAAAACTACTTTGAGATTCCAGCTTACATCTGTCAGAATGGCTAAGATTAAAAATACAAGTGATAGCTCATGCTGGTGTGGGTATGGATCAAGGGGAACACTCCTCCATCATCAGTGGGAGTGCAAACTTGTACAGCTACTATGGAAATCAATACAGCAATTCCTCAGAAAATTGGGGATAGGTCTACCTCAAGACCTAGGTATACCACTCTTGGGCATATACCCAAAAGACACAGCATCCCGCCACAAGGACACTTGCTCAACTATGTTCACAACAGCTTTATTCCTAATAGCCAGAAACGGAAAACAACGTAGATGTCCCTCAACTGAAGAATGGATAAGGAAAATATTTATTTATATACTGGAGTATTACTCAGCTGTTAAAAAAAATGACATAAAATTTTCAGACAATGGATAGAACTAGAAATATCATCATCCTGAGTGAGGCAACCTAGACCCAGAAAGACAAACACGTACTGACTCATAAGTGGACATTAGCTGTAAAGTAAATGATAATCACACTACAATCCACAAGCCCAGAGAGGCTAGGTATAAGGGGTGGGGAGGTGACTCACGGGTCTCCCTGGGAGGGGAAATAGATTTCACAGGTGGAATGGGAAGGGATGAAAATAGGAGGAACCAGGTGAGGGAGGGAGAGGGGCAGAAGGAGCACGGAAGAGACTGGAATAGGTGGGCATTTCGGGGGCAATGTGGAAACCTAGTGCAGTGTAAACTTATGGAACCGATGAGGTGACCTAGGTCTCTAGTAGTGGAGGATATGGAGCTTGAACCGGCCATGTTCTCTAACCGTTTAGGCTCCCAGTGGTGGGACCAGGACACCAACCCAGCCCCAAACCTTTGACCTACAACCTGTCTTGCTGCAAGACGTGCTGGGGCGATGGGCTCAGAACCCGCGGGTGTGACCAACCGATGACTGGCTTGAGGCCCAAGTTGTAAGAGGAAACCTATGCCTGATGCTGCCTGGATGGCTAGGTCCTAGGGTAGAACCAAACATAACTGACCAAAACAAAGAAGTCAACAAAATGACCCTGCTATACTCATAGATCCGAGCTGTAAAGGTTGGACTGAGAATAATCCAGAAATGGAGGGCACTCTGTGATCTGGATCTTGAGGCAAGAAGACAACATGCTTGGATCTAGACCTTGAGGCCAGCTGGAAGACACACCTGTAACGCGGACCACACCTTCTGTGGAGGGACGATGTTGGAAGGAGGGGGGCAAACGCGTGCTTCACCTTGTCCTCACCCTGTCAGCACATGGATTTCTTCACTGCACTGGAGCCCACCTTGGGATTCCAGCATATAGAGAAGACCAGCTGAGACACCCAACCTAGCGGGACTGAGAAACTACACTAGATTTTTGAACTTTCAACTCACAGCCAGCCACTGTGGGGCTGCAGCCCATAAATCATTCCAGTAAATCCCCTTATATAGAGAGAAAAAGAGAAAGTTCTGTGCTAGAGAGCCCTGACTCAGACAGGCGCCTAGCCCAATGGTCATCAGAGGCTTCCTCCAGCAGCTGATGGGCACAGATTCAGAGACCCACAGGCAAACACTAGGTGGAGCTCTGGGAACCCCACAGAAGAAGGGGAGGAAGGATTGTAGGAGTCAGAGGGTCAAGGACACCAGGAGAACATGGCCCACACAATCTACTGAGCAGTGTTCATATGGGCTCACAGAGACTGAAGCAGTGATCACAGAACCTGTGTGGGTCTATGCTAGGTCCTCTACATACATGCCACAGTTCTTTAGCTTG